AGCGGGGAATGCGGCGCAGCTGTGGGCGAGATGGAGGCGGCAATGGCATGGTGGAGCGGGCGCTAGGCGATGGCGGAGTGGTGCAGGTGCTCGGCGGCGCTCGGTGGTTCCGCGGCGAGCGTGGGAGAAGGCAGTGGAGAGGGAGAAAGTGGGCGCGTGAGTGTGAGAGAGGGCGCGCGGCTTCATAGATAACGGGCGCTAGCGCGCCGCGGCGAGGGCCTAGCGGCGGCCAGCGGCGGCCACGTGGCGGCCTGTCTTTGCCCACGGTCAGCCACGACGGCGCGACGTGGCTCGGCCATCAGCGCCCGATCAAGTGCCTGACAGCGCGATTTCGATCGTTTCTAACTCCTAAACAAAGGCGAGTCAGTGATAGTCCTTAACAAGAGTTGGAGATCTACATACAAGCTACAAAGTTGCTTAAGACATCATCTACTAATTTGCAACTGTTATCGAGTTAGATCATCACAAAGTAGGCTGCGTCAACACTATCAGTTCACATGACTTAGATACATTTCCTAAGTGCTAAAAACAGTGAAAGGTTGATTCTTGTTAGCTAAATTTAAGCATGTTAGGAGCGGAACTAGCCTATGACCCAAAAATAAAAGTTGTTGCTCTCATCAAATACTACAACTTTGGTTTAGTGAACACATCCATGCAAAGTCTCTATGACCTAGTTCAATCTAGGTCAAACATACCACTTTCAAATGATGACTTACACTATATCTATGTCTTAGAGACCAAACTAGCCTTAATCATGAATACCAAAGTTGTTCCTAGTGACATTCTAAACATGTTTAATGTATTTCTAAGGTCACACAAGCATTTCATACATTGGTTATATATTTTACTTCACAGGTCAACATGCATACCATCACTTAGGAGCTTAATTAGACAAAGTGATCTACATGAACAATGTTCCATTAGTCATCCCAAGTGTAGCTAAGGTGTTTTAGTAACTAACATCAACCACTTACACTTATTCACACATGATCATAAGCATACACCTATAGAAACATAAAATAACAAGGCATGTTTCACATGTGTTCAGTTGTATGTTTCATATGTAAAAGCTTATATATGAATGCTTGATGATTATGCTCATGCAATGCAAGTCAAATTATGCAAGCCTAACACCTAGGGTGTTACAAAAGACTTACGGTGGATATGAATATCTAGGCACCCATAAACAAGGAAGGATGTAGCAAGCAATAAAATGACATTTTCCCAAAAGTCTTGGCAAATCTGTTTTTGATGAAAATTCTCTTTTGTGTAATTTAAATACGAAGCAAGTCTACGTTAATGTATTATTTTGTTGGCTTTTCGTGAAATACTCGTTTGGGCGAGGACTTCCTAACACGTTATAAGCTAAACCCTTTTCACGAAACACTCGTTTGGTCGATGAATTTCAAACACATCATAAGCTAAACCTGTATTGACAAATAACAAACCTGCATTGAATAGGGGTGGTATAGTGTTCCATTATTTCGGCACTCTACATACCGCATTGGCGGCAAGTAGCTAGAGTGGCACAATCGAATAGTTAGTAATTGTTGACGGTGTCTAGCTAGAAGAATTTGTTCTTCTAGAATACCCTGATTCAAGGACAAAGAGTTTCATGCGGGATCCATTTATGATACCCTAGTTGACATTGCTAACAGATCTAATAAATCATGAGTTTAATAGATCCACTTTAGCAAAAAGATGTATATTCCTTGCTCACATTGTTGTTCTAAATTAAGGGTTTGTTGTGGGCTTCTTGTGAGCTTTTGGACCTTTCAAAAGCCAAAAGCTCCCAAAAGCCAAAAAACAGAAGCTCATTATAGTGAGCTTTTGGGCTCTTGGCTTCCGGGAGCTGTTTGGCTTTTATAAAATCCAAAAGCTAGTAGTCTAAAAGTGGCTAAAAACTCAAACAAATATGGCCTAATAAGGTTCTTTAACTTTGGTTAGTTTTTAGAAAAAATATTATCATGTACATGTTCAAATAATAGATGCAATGTCATGAAGCATATTTCATAGAGTCTTATTAGACTAACTTGACATATTGTAGATTAGTTAAAACTAGAAAAAACTTTGGCGTAGAACAAATTAAGCTAAATTGAACTATTATTTGGGATGGAGAAATATCTATAATAATTCAAGAAGATCATTCCAACTTTGATATGTTGCAAATTATAAATCTTGATTGTTCTGTTTTAATATTACTAATTACCCCCTCCGTCCCAAAAAGAGTGTCGTTTTTTACTTTCAGACATCTTGCTTGATTATCCGTCTTATTCAATTTTTTGTATAAATATCATATATTTTGTTATGACTTATTTTATCATTCGAGATACTTTAATAATGATTTTTTATTTTATAATTTACACAAAATTTTTGAATAAGATGAACGGTCAAACACGACGTCTGAAAGTAAAAAACGACACTCTTTTTGGGACATATGGAGTAGATGTGTGTAACAGAGTCTCCATGTTAAACCTCATGAGACACACTTGTAAAAAGAAGATAAATTCTAGAAATACTCACAACAATAAAAAAATTGTTCTTTAATCTTGTAGGCTATAATCATCATCATTAATAATGACCATTGGATCAAATATGTTTCTATAAAAGATTGCCTATTTCTACCGTTATGAAAAATACATAATTACCTAATTCTAACACTAGATTCAATGTAACAAAGATGTGTGTCACCGTGTATACAAGTAACATGCATACATTAGTGACACACACACACAATTCATAGCTGGCCCTAGAATAACTTATTCTAGGGACACCTTAATTTACGATAATGTTTGTATTAATTTATAATAAAATAAATATATTTATGATACATTTGTTATCGTAACTCATGATGACATTTACCACAATGTTATAGTAAATCACCTAGGAGAAGCGATAGTAATATTGTAAATTAGTACAATCATTGTGGTAAACTCATATTAAGTCATTATGTGGCCAGCTACAGAGAATTACTTATATGGAAACCAAGGTGTAGCTACCCCATGTGTGTATCTCAAGATTTAGGGTGTATATGGCTTAACGAATTGTATTTATATGGAGTATGTGGATCACATTTTACTAGACCATATGTGTAGTATATGTCAAGTATGCAAGTATATATAGAGTATTTAGTTATGCTTATTCTATATACTATATGATGATATTATAACAATGTACTAAAAATGGGCTCCGTCCTTTGATTTTTTTTCATATAGTAAGATCTGTAAGTATCTTACAATAAGCATATAAGCATACTCAAATCAAATGGATAAATGAGTATTGTACTCATACACAAGATGGTTTATTAAAGATGGTAGTAATTACACCCGAGAGTAAGAAAAACTCATATTAAAACTAATAGTTTACTTTAACTCATTTTCATATTCAATGCACTAAGACTAATTGTTACATTAGAAAAAACAACCTACTAATGCTAACACTAATAATTTATTGTAAATCATATTAAAATATATTTCCTCAATTTCAAATTATAAGACGTTTCGATTTTTTTTTGCTATACATTTAGATATACACTATGTCTAGATACCTAGTAAAGTAACGTATATAGAAAAAACAAAATTTCTCATAATTTAAAATGGAGGGAGTAGTAATAATAATACTATTGCACACATAATTCTTCGATAAAAAAAATCAACATCTTAAATTACTATGCTATAGACTGAAATGATCGTTTACGCACAATAAAAAATATATTCGATGCAATCGTGAGAATCACCTTACTAACTCGTTTTCATAATATTAGATTTAGGGGGTGTTTGATTCCACTTGACTAAAGTTTAGTCCCTGTCACATTAGATGTTTGATACTAATTAGGAGTATTAATATTAAATATAGACTAAGTACAAAACTAATTACATAAACGAAGACTAATTCACAAGACGACTCTATTAAGCCTAATTAGTCCATGATCAACGAATGTGATGCCAATTCCTCAAGAGAATTAGTAACGATTTATGCAATTAGTTTTATAATTAACTCGTGTTTAGTTTTTCTAACTAACATCAAATATTTAATGTGACAACTTTAGTCCTGATCAAACAGCAGCTTCAAAAATATCCATACTACTGTTTTCACCCTGCTTATGATAGGCATGGGTAAAGATCACCCAAACGCAGGCGCGCGTGTAGCGCAGCGGCAAAGCTCCGGTGGTGGGAGCTGGTCGGCCAGGGTTCGAACCCTGGTTTTGCACCGCTTGCTTCGTGAGCAAATAATTTCCTGTCTATGTCCTGGACACTCGTATGACGCTATAATGAGACTACGACGTACCCGTCGTCTACGAGACTTGTGTGGACGTTTGAGGTGTATAGGTTGTAGTTTTTAGGGGTGCTATAATGAGACTACGACGTACCCGTCGTCTACGAGACTTGTGTGGACGTTTGAGGTGTATAGGTTGTAGCTTCTAGGGGTGTGCATGTGTGTGATGATGTAAGTGTGCTGTGTCGAACCCTGGTTTTGCACCGCTGGCCCGTGAGCAAATAATTTCCTGTCTAGGTCCTGGACACTCGTGTGACGCTATAATGAGACTACGATGTGCCCGTCGTGTACGAGACTTGTATGAACGTTTGAGATGTATATGTTGTAACTTCTAGAGGTATGTATATGTGTGATGATGTAAGTGTGTTGTGTAGAGTACTCGTATATATAACTTGTACACTACGCTAAAAAAAAATGACTGCGCTCCCAACGTGCCCCCAGTCCCACAAGCCAAGCCACAGTTGGGTCACTGACACCCGCGATCTCGCCGCCGGGCCCACACCACATGACCGACAGCTCGCGGGTTGCGCCCGCCAGCGTAGCAGAAGCGTTTCCGGCAGCGGAGGTTTCCTCCAATCGATCTGTACGCCCCTCCCCACCGGCCGGTCGCGCACCTCCACCAACCTACCTGCCCGCCCCGCCCCGCCCCGTCCGTCGACGACTCGCCGTCCATCTCCGCCCTCCAAAACCCTACTACCCCTGTAGCCTCCAGCCCCGCGCCCGCCATGGCCACCAACGGCAGCTCCGCGGTACGCGCGCCAAGGCTCAGCATGTCTGCTTCTGTTTTAGATTGGTGGTGTTTTGGCTGATATTTTTTTTTGGGGGTTTGGGGGATTTTGCAGAGGGTTCGGGACACGGAGAGCAGCCTGGAGAAGGTGAAGCGGCAGCTGTCGTCGGGGTCCGGTAGGTACCTGCTGCAAGGGCCTCTGCTCAAGCGATCTGAGACGGTATGACAATTCCTGGCCCAAGTCAAGTCGTTCATAGGGTGATGGATTGTATTTGTTTAATTAGGCGTGTGAAGATTTGAACTTGGTGCTAGATTTCGCTCACCATAGGATCGAGGCGTGCTTTGGTGCTGAATTTTGTTGTTAGTATGTGTTGATTATGTAGCAGTAACTGGTATGGTTGGTTGCGGGGGCTTCTTTGGGGTATGATTTTTTAGTGTGTTTTTGTAATTGTCTTGGAATGAATTGTGTTTTGCTCACAATTCTGTATTATAATTTTGGTTCTAGCAGGGACCTTATGTACATAGTCAATATAATCGCATCTGTGTAGTGACCTTTGTTGTCCTAGCCCTAGGAATAGTAGAATTGGTTGAAATGCTTGTTGTTAATATTGGGATGTATCGTTAGATTGTGGGGGTGGAAGTGTGAATGGTTGGGATGGCTACACATTGCATAGGAACCCTGTTGGAAAGTACTATTGGGTGATTCACCTGGGTCCATTGTTTCCATATACACAACTGTATGATCGTAGTGAACATAGTTTTTTTTTTTCATTTCCTGATTAGGTTGTCCTTCTGAGTCTTATCTAACAATTTCATCCTCCAAATTCTTATGACCTTTCAAGCAGTTGCGGAAATGGAATGAACGTTGGGTCATATTTGACCCTACATCTGGAAAGATGGAATACAAGTATGGAACCTTGCCCGTTTAATAACCAGGAATGCCAAGTAAATTACAACTAGTACCTAATCAGCAGTCACTGATGTATTGGTGCAGACTCCGGAGAAATGAAACTGCCATTAAGGGGACCATTCTGTTTGACGCCTCAAGCACCATTACTTTATCTCCTGTGAACTTTCAGTAAGATTGCCTCATGAACATAACCTTTCCTTAGTATGTCGTACCTAAATTTTTAGCGTTATAACCTACAATTATTGCCCAACTTTTTGCAGAGGGATGCCAAAATATGATGGCTGCTGCTTCTGTATCCTATTTCCCTATATTTCGGTCAAAAAGATTGTTTCAGAAAGAGTTTCTTAAATAGTTATATATAGAGGAATCACATGTTTTAAGGTTTTACTGTTCCTTTACTGTGTTTAGACATCGGGACTCCTCAAAAGAAGGATTACTTTCTTTGCGCTGAAACTCCTGGTGCTGCGAAAGCTTGGGTATCTACATTACAGTAAGCTTTCTGATCCCTGACCAGTCAGTACATTCCACAGTATTGCTTGTTTCACACTTCTGTCTGTTGTATATTAATAGGCCAAGTACCTAGCAAACCTTTATCTCAGTGCAAGAATGCAGACTCCAATATGAGAGTGGAGTGCTTTCCATTTGATAATTGAATCCTAGCAGTGTCCCAGTCGAAACTACTTTTTCTAATTTCCAATGATGCAGATCTAAAGGATGTGATCTACTTCAATGTTGATCAGAGAATGCACGATATGGGCCTTCATGCTTAGACTGGGGATTCTCTATTTTTCATTACTCTGAATAATAAAATAACCTGAAGAACCCTTTAATGCGATCAGATTTACGTGTTGTGGTGTAATCTATTTATTCTTTTCAGGTACACATGCTGCATTTTACTAGTTCCTAATCTGGGGTATTGTAGTATTATGGGGAAATCTACTTTGCGTGATTTAAGCTACTCAATGTTGAGTTCTATCCCTGTTGCTGCATCCTGACTGTAGTTTTGTGTGCTCTGTTGCTATGATACCATCTCCTTTGCATGGTTAAAACACAACATTGGAGTCAATCTCATTGCTGTATCATGACTAGTTCTCTGTTGTTATTAAACAGTGCAACTCAGTTAGTCTTACGAGCTCATAAAGAGGCAGTAAATTCTTTGGCTGGGAATGGCTCTCCAGCTACATTAGGCACAGTTGCTACTGCAGTTGCTAATGCTAATGCAACAGCCATGGAGGCTACCAAGGAGATAGAAGCTGCACTAAAGGTTTCAATGAGGGCAGCTCTTGGGTTGGGTACAAATAACTCCAACGAGGGCCAACTTGATGACCTAACAATCATGAAGGTCTGCATTCATCTCTTAATGATTTTCAATTCATTTTTGCTCAAAAATACTGTTGTGGAGCTTTTTAAAATCAATTTTAAATGATAGGTTGTGATAGAATCTACATTTAGTTGCAACCCCAGAAATATAGCTGCTTAGAAGTTAAAAGTTTACTTTTAGGGTAATTATATTACTACACATGCATCATTTCTTCAGTATTTTGATACCATTAAGTGTAGCTGAGATGCCTGAGGTGAAATACAATGCGCTCAACAAATTTAGAGAAAATTTGTCACGGGAAGAACAGAATGCTCCATGCTGTTATATGCAGTTGAATTTGGTTTCTTGGGGAAGCTGAAAATGTTTTTTTTGGTCTCATCCTTCCTATTATTTGCTCGTTTGGAAATTTCATGATTTACATTCCCAAACTTTTTTCAGATGTATTTGTGCAGTGACAAACGCAGATTAGTGCAAGAGTCATGACTGGGGCATTCTTAATTTTATCTGCGTGCATGCTTTGATCAATCATTCTTACTCTGTTTTTTTTTTCTCTCCCAGGAGACTCTACGAGTGAAAGATGAGGAATTGCAACATTTGGCTAAGGATATCCGTTTCGAGATGCTACAATAAAGGAAATAGCAGACAAATTAACAGAAACTGCAGAGGCTGCAGAAGCTGCTGCTTCAGCAGCTCATACAATGGATGAACAGAGGCGACTTTTGTGTTTGGAGATTGAGCGACTAAAACAAGCCTTGGAAAGACAAATAGAACAATCAATGCTTAAGGTAAAATTTTTATATTATTTTTGATTAGTTACTCTGAATTCATGATGCTAACTAATATGATCTTGTGGGCATTGCAGCTTAGACAATCCGAAGAGAAGGTTATCAGTCTGAGCAAAGAGAAGGAGCAGTTGATGAAGGAAAGAGATGCTGTATTTCAAGAGGCTCATATGTGGCGCATTGAACTAGGAAAAGCCAGGGAGCAAGCAGTGATACAGGAAGCAACTATTGCCCGGGCAGAGGAGAAGGCAAGAGTTTCTGAAGCAGATGCTGCAGCTCGGATTAAGGAAGCTGCCGAAAAGTTGCATACCGTTGACAAAGAAAAGGAGGAGCTTCTAGCCCTGGTTGCTGTTCTCCAATCACAAGTCCAGAGGTTTGTTCTCACTCCTGCAACATATATGCAGTTAAAATGTGTAATGTGCATGGAATATAGCTGTACTTGTTACACTGTGATGGCTAATGACCAAAGCATAAATTCACTGATGCAGAGAGCAGAGCAGCACAAAGCAAGTATGTGAGGAGAGGTCTGAATCATGTTCAGGTGCCGACAATTCGCCTCCCTTAACAAAGCATGTTGATGCATCAGATGATGATGTGGACAAAGCCTGCGTAAGTGACTCTAGATCAGTGCTGGTTTCGAGCGATAGCACTGAGGTCCAGCTGGCTGTGGATGGGGTGGACATCCGTCCTGTCGGTGATGCAGAGTGGGGTAGCTTCCAGCAGTCAGAAGCGCTGATCGCTGATGTTCGGGAGGTCTCCCCAGAGGCAGATGGCGGCAGCTTGGATATCCCTGTGGTCAACCCCCCACCATCCAGTGATCATATCCAGGGAGGCGGCGCTACCCATCCCTGAAGGCCTGAGGTTGCTGCTGGCCTGCCGCTACCTTCCGAGATTCATGTGATTGCTGAGAAACCGATAGGGATGTCTAAATCTGGAGAGAATTGCAGTTGAGGGTGTATTACATCAATGCGGATTGTATGTCCATTGTATTTAAGTATACGACTGAATAAAAAGATAGTACTCCGTAGCTGTGTTTGGCTGTGGGATTGTAAATTATTCGCCTCGTTCCCTTTACTTGGAACTTTGCTGCGGCATTTCGCGATGAGAAAAATTGTGGCGCGCGGAGTATTAGGCAAAACCAATGGTAATTTGAACACAAATAAACTAGGCGATTGGCTTGCCAGTTAAAGTTCTTAATATGAGAGCATATCATCAGCTATATCAGATGTACTCGTGTACGGCACGACAGCTTCCTAGCAAAAAGCCAAAAACGAGTATTCTGGTCAGATTGAGGATTAAAAATGTGCACTAGAGAGACAGCAAAACTATTCAATTTACAGAGCATGTCAATTTGATCGTGCAGATGTTTATATAACGGAAAACACCAATCGCCAGCAAGGAACATAAGCATGTCTTGGGCTCGCCCGAAATGAACACATGCTATAATACTGGCAATGGAGGCGAAACACAATTACAACATCAAAAACCTTACACTTTCAATGGATTAGGGCACGAGTAGTAGTAAACCTAGTAGTAAAACAAATAAAACTTACACATACACACACACGGTCGTAGACAACTTAAAAACTTTTAGCACTACGCCTCTACAGGACTGGGCCCTCTTGGGCTACCACCACTGCTCTGTTGCTCATACTCCTGACTTGGAAAAACATCAGGCAGCAAACTAGTTGAGATGTTGTTTGCGTGAAGCCACGTCAGCTCCCACAAGCTGTCACCCCCAATCGTGCTCCTCTTCGCAAGGATGCCCTTGTTCTTCATCACGAGTAGAATGTTCTTGAGCAGGTCCGGGATCACCTCTTGCAGCTTGTCACTCCGCTTGCCTCGGACCTTGATCTTGATGTACTTCTCCATCCGGCTCAGGACTCCCAGCCACAGTTTGCAGAAACTGCTTAGGCCAAAAAGGTCTGGCAAGAGTTGAAGGTACACTTTTGCAACTAGTTTCATGGCAAGCACAAGGGACCCTTCCATGTTTCTGTAGTCCTTCTGGGAGTGATTCTGACTGATTTCCAGTAAGTCATCAAGCAAGGAAAATATGACGAGGTCAAAGGCATGAGACCATGTCGCGGACTGGAGGCAGATTTCTTCTGTCGCTGTTAGGCATCGTTGGAGAGAAGCCAACGCATGATTTCGCACCTCCTCTCTCTGATCCAGGCTCAATTTTTTCAGTGCTTGCAGCAATTTGAGCCACATCTCCCTTATCGCCTCCAGCCCTTTCTCCCCTTCTTCACATGTTGCTTTTATCTCTTGGGACCACATGGCAAGACTTCTGACAGAGTCAGACATCAAGTCCAGGGCACGGACAGACCTATCAGCTAAACCAACTCTAGACTCCGCAAACTGCCGTGACGCTTCGATGCAGAAGCCATAATTCGCTAGTGAAAGGTGAGCCTCCTCTGTCATGATAAACATGATAGCCTCAAAACCAACTTCGGAAGCATCCGGATGGCGAGCTGTAATGGAGAGCAGCAATATTACTGTTCTCCAGCCCATCTGTGACTTTATATGTGCCGCATTTGCTTTGACGAGCCGTGCAACCTCCTGTGTGATGTTCTCACAGTATGCATCTGCTACGCGTGCATCGAGCTTGAGAACTAATTGCAATGACCTCAGCAATTCATCAGCAAGATTCTCCTTGTATGGTAGTAAACTCTTGCATATCCTCAGGAGTCCAAAAATAGCTTTCTCCACAAGAGCACACGGCATAACTGTGGACTGAACTATGTTGGCAATATGCTCGTACACACCTTGCCAGAGGAGCACAATTCGGTCTCGATTATTAAGGGTTATGGCAATCAGCAGTTCCAAGCAGAAAACTGCTGTATCCTCATCATCTGGCGAACTGGCAACCTTTTGAGGTCGGCCTGCAGCCCAAATCAGAGCCCTGGCAAGTTGCAGTAGTGAATCAGGCTGCAAGAATTTGCTCTCTGTAAATATACTATCGATGCGGCATTTCTGAATTGTCTGAAGAGTCCTCTGGTGAGCGGCAAGTTGCTGCTCAGTTGGTTGTGATCTTGGTTCTTCACTGTCAAGAGAGAGCAGCTGACTAAATCTTCCCATAAGCCCAGAGGATTTGCGAGGTGTACCCATCACTGGAATATGAGATGGGGGAACTGCGCTAGGAGCAGCCTTTCCTTGGACTGCTTCAGCAGAAAGTTCGGAATCATCAGCTGCATCACTAGCAACACGGGCAGGGAGAAGCCCTAGTTTATGCAGCCTCAGGATGCAATCCAATACATTCCTCCAGCCAGTGCGTATGTAATCCCCATATCTGTTAGCTATAGTAAATAATGTCTCAGTTGCCAACCTAGCTTTAAGGTCATCTCCAAAGGCAGTAACTGGCTCCTCAACCAAAGAAGTATTCAAGAGAGTGGTGAATTTGCATAGTGAAACAACAAGATCGTCCAGAACATCCTCAAGATGATGAAATGCAGAGATCTTTGCAACACCCAAAAAGCCATCTACACAAGTCAAGAGAACTTCTTCATGCTCCGAATGATCAAATACCACCGCAATGGCAGCAATAGTAGGGCCAGACATAACAGCAAACATATCATGGTCGAGGAAAGGCTGAGAGTCACCAACAATATATGGGGACGTAGACTTTGACTTCCGCATTAGGTCTATCCAACGACTAGGAGACATTTCAAAATATCCCAAACCCTGCTCAGGTGTTGTCTTAATCTCATTTCGGCAGATTGAGTGGTATAGCTCAGACAACATCTCACGTGGGAGATCACTGCCCTCATTTATGTTCCTGTTGTTCTTGATGAAGTCCTCCTCAGTCATCTTCTTCTTCACTTGCATGTTATGCTGATCAGTGTTCAGCATTATAATGGAATAGGACAGCAGTAGAGCAGTGTCCTTATTTGCGAAAGACTGAGGGGACTGTTCGTAGTATCTATCTGAGAAGGCCTCAAGAACCCTTTGTATCTTCTGAGATTCACCAGGAAGCCGGAAAGTCTCCAAAAATAGACGCAGAGCTGTATCCAGGTTCATCTCCTGGAAATCAAAGGTCTGAGCAAACTCATGAAGCACCTGAACACAAAACTCGTCATGATTGCCTAGGAAATCTCCAACAAGATTCTTATCCAAACCAGCTGTGTAGCGGAAAAAACAAGCCACACTCTGGGGATCAAGCTTCTCAGGCAACAGATGGGTGCCTTGAAGAAACTCCAGACCTTTCTTTGGGTCCCTGTTGAAGTGATCAGCACCAATCATTAGCCTCCTTTTGACATACTTCCTTTGACGGACAAACTTCACCCAATGCCGAGGATCAGAAAAGTTCTCACACTTAACAGTCCAGAAAGGAGTGTATTCATCAAGCTCCACAGGCAGGAGCTCAGGGCGTGAGGTTGCATTCCCGATACGATCAGCCATCCCCTGAATCACAGCAATCAAACCTTCTAGAGCAAGAATGTGCATGGAAGACAAGGGGCAGTTGATAGGAAAAGCACTCTTCGATAGAAGATTTGCAAGCTCCTCAAAAACATTCCTGCAGGTTATATCACAGTCAAGATTGGCATACATCTCCACCATAAAATTTTTCTGTTGACAGAAGTCTACAAGAGCTTCCATTGCAATCTCCTGCTGATGATATGTTGCTCCAAAACGAGGTTGTGCAAGCCTTATAATTATACAAGAAAAAAAAGCCTCAAGCTGCAGCTTCAGCTCAGTCCGGAGATGATGGTAAAGGTTCAATGCAATACTGCATACTATTGAAAGGATGAGTGGACTCATCGACAACCCAAACTGCATTAAGTTTCTGAAAAGCTCATCTTGCACTAAGGACAACAGCTTTGGATGTTTCTGAATTGAAGACCCACCAAGCTCAATCGCTGAATTGATCAATTTAAGAGCAAACAAAGGGAGATCTTCATCTAAGCCAATCTGTTCAACAACATTGAGGAGAGAGCATAGGAAATGGAAGATCTCCACCATGCAAGGGACTCCATAAGGCTCTACAATAAGACCATTGCCATCTGCAGAATTCTCATCAGATGCACCTGTCTCGGTCACATAGCTTCCATTGCCATTTTCCATTTGCCTGATACCAAAAGGATGATTCATATCCATGCCACCCATCTGTCCATAACATGCAAAAAACAATCAATAAACCTTTTCCATCGAGCAAAAATGTTAGCACATTGCACATGCAATAATACTGTACTTGGCAACAGTTCATAGTAGGGAAACAAACACCAAGGCACACTTCAATTATCTAAAAGCCCTTTTTGATACTCAAATGAGTGAAACCTTTGTTAGGGGTTAGACCGAGACCTTGTTTGTTTTTGTTCCACCTGGATAAAACTCAGATATATGCACATATATATACAAGTATCAATTGGGTTACTTACGCCTTGTTTGGATGCACATGTTTCCACCTCAATCCATGTGTGTTGAAGTGGGTTGGGGTGGAATTTAAACTAAACTCCACCCAATTCCACCCCAACCCACTTCAACACACATGGATTGATGTGGATACATGTGCATCCAAACAAGGCCTTAACTGTAAAACCAACTTACTTCACTACCTGGATGAATCAATCTCTGTGTGTTCCTAATTTTAGCAATATCCATGGCCTGAACAAGATTTCAGTTGGAAATTCAACATGCTAGTTGAAAGTTAAAATGCATAACAGCATAAGAACATTTCACTAAACTAAAACCTGCATGACCTTGCTCTCCTCTCACAACAACACATATAAAGTCAATTGGTAGTGAGCTGGTAGAGTTGCAGTGCCAGTAGCTATCGTGATTTCAAAGCGACTAGGTGTCCAGGCGAGGGTTGGGTGTGCCTGGACGCCTAGGCGATAAGGCACCACTACTTCCCAAGGCGAGCTGGGTACGCTTAGACACCTAGGCGACGCCTTTGAAACAGGGGTAGTTATGCACACTATAGGGGTGGACTGTGGAGCTCAATTGCTCAAAGATGAAAGGGTGCCAAGAATGCTGCAGCATTGTCACATAGGCCAACTGTGTTGCAGCAATGTCTCATCAGTTGTGCATGTTTTTGTCTGAGGAAAGCTACATTAGCAAAAGATACAATGCCCTTGCAGTGGTGATGTCAATTTCTAAACATTTGTCATGTTAGCAGAGTTGACCTGATCAGATTATTAGCTTAGGAGCACCTGAGTATTGAAGCATGTTTGATGTTTCTCAAGTCAGCTGATTTTGGCTCAGATTAGGGGGCACTTTCAAGAGTTCAAGGACATAGATCTTCCAAAACTTGTTATGGCAAAAAACTAACCATAGCCATATATGCAGCAACATTGTCAGATTTAGCCTGTTTGTACATTTTATCTAGCATAAAAGATAAACAATCACCATTTCCCTGCCTCTCAGATCTACCTCACTGTTTGTACCATATAGTTTTATTTGCATTTTTCACTATGCGAGGCACTACAGAGGCACCGCTAAGAGAGGTTATAACAGATCTCAAGTTACATGGTTCAAAAACTGTAACCTACATCAAGGCATTGATTTGTAAAAACTAGTACTCATACATAATAACTGCATGAAAGGTAATTTCCATCCCACACGTCCATTTTCTACCACACAAGTTTAGACCTACACAAGAAAACCCAAAGGCTTTGCTCAGAATGGTCCTGAATTTGCTATGTAATTGTGAAATGCAGTTCATAGGATGCTACTTTGTGTGTTGAATGCTACTAATGTCTTATAGTATCCAGTAAACTTGTTCTAGTCAAGAATGAGATACAGGGTTGACTGGCATTGTTAGGCCAACTGTGCTGCAGCAATGTCTCATCAATTGTGCATGTTCTTGTCTGAGGAAAGCTACATTAGCAAAAGATACAATGCCCTTGCAGTGGTGATGTCAACTTATAAACATTTTTTATGTTAGCAGAGTTGACCTGATGGAATTATTAGCTTAGGAACACCTGACTGAGTATTTGAGTATGTTTCTCAAATCAGCTGATTTTGGCTCTGAATAGGGGGAAACTTTCAAGAGTTCAAGGATGAATATGTTTCTTCCCAAACTTGTTGTGGAAAAAACTAAAACATAGCCATATATGAAGCAACATTGTCGGATTTAGCCTGTTTGTACATTTTATCAAGCATAAAAGATAAACAATCACCATTTCCCTGCCTCTAAGATCTACCTCGCTGTTTCTACCATACAGTTTCATTTGCAATTTTCACTCTATGCCGGGAACTACAGAGACATCGCTAAGAGAGGTTATAACAGATCTGAAGTTACATGGCTCAAAAACTGCAACCGCACTGATTTCTAAGAGCTAACAATTGGACATAATAACTGCATGGAAGGTAATTTCCATCCCAAGCGTGAAACCTACACAAGCGAACCCAAAGGCTCTGCTCAGGATGGTTCTGAATTTGCTACTTAATTGTGAAAAATGCAGCTCATAGGATGCTACTTTGTGTGTTAGATGCTACTAATGTCTTATACTAACCAGTAAACTTGTTCTAGTCAAGAGTGAGATACGGGGTTGACTGGCATTTGTAAGCTCAAAAAACGCATGAGGAGGAGAGTGACTATTAATAGCAGGAGCGAGCACTCTTTTACCTCTGGTTTGACAGCAGCGTCAACTCCATGAGCACTGCTTATCTGCGGGAGGCGCGCGAAGACGCAGCGGATGAGCTCGTGCATCGCGTGGCGCGAGAACCGCTGCAGGAGCTCGCTCTTGGCCGCGGCCTGGTGGACGACGCGGAAGCAGGTGTTGAATGCGGTGCAGACATGCTGGTCCCCGAGCGCGGGCGCGGCGGGCGCGCGGAGGCAGGCGAGCAGGGCCTGCAACATCCTCATGAGCACGGCCTCCTCTGCTGCGGGCTCGGCGCCGGCCTCGAAGCGGCAGCTGAAGACGGCGTCGACAACCTCCCGGAGCGTGGCGCCCGGGAGCGCGGGCCCCGTGAGGGACATGACCTCGTGGAGCGCGGCGAGCGAGGCGGAGGTGACGGCGGCGCCGGCGTCCTCGGAGCGGACGGCGTCGAGGAAGGGCCGCAGCGCGGCGGCGGGGAGCGCGGCCGAGGGGGACGACGGGGAGAAGGCGAGGCGGCGGAGTGCGCGGAGGGAGGCGACGAGCGGGTGCTCGGCCGCGGCGTCGTCGGCCGCCGTGGCGCGCGGGTGCCGGAGGCCGCGCCGCATTACGGCCAGCACGGCGCTGGCCTCAGCGGAGATCGCGCAGGCGAGGGCCGCCGGGTCGGGCCCGAGGCCGCCATCGGCGGGGCAGCGCGCGTGGTGGTGAGGCTCCTCGGCGATGGGGTCGATGCCGCCGCCGAGCATCCTGGGGCGGCCCATTTTCGGGGGGCGGGCGCGGCGGGTGGGCCCGGGCGGCTGGAGGCTAGTAGGGTGCGGTGCGGGGAGACGGCATGGGCGGCGGATCTGAGGAGAAGGGATCGGGGACAGGCAGCGTGGAGTAGAGCGGGCCGTGCACCGGTGGAGACGGCGAGGAGGTGTTGGGAGTAGGACGGAAGTTCGTGGAGCCTTTTACCGTGCGTGCCATAAAAAAAAATGGTCGTGGCCAAATTCAACGTGTACCTATTTATCATGACACTTTATTTTTTATATTTTAAGCTATTCCGTTCACTTTCTGTTTGATTTTTTATCGTTTACCAGCCCTGACACGCTCTTTTGTCATGGTGTAAACTGCTCTCTATATTTTTTCTCCATCGGCATCTTCTTCCGACTGTGCGGCCCTCTCCGCGATGCGCCGTCCTCCCGACTCCGGCGACCCCCATCCCGACTCCGGCGATCCCCCTCCCAACTCTGGCGAGCCACTCTCGACTCCGACGAGCCCGGCTCCCCTCTCCCTCTCACATCCGTGATGCGACAGGCGTGGCCCCGATGCGCCGGCGTCCGCTCGGTCAACGTCCGTCGCCTGCCCCGAGCCCCGGCCCCGACGCGCCCGGGCCCTGCAAAGACGGCGCGCGGTCAAGGCCTCGCTCGCAGGTCGCAGCTCGCGCAGCGCGGCTCCTGCGACCAGGGGCCGAGCTCCCCCCAAGCAGCCAGGTCGCGCGCCACCCACCGAGCCTCCACTAGTGCGCTCGCCGGTGACCACGTCGCGCCTGTGCCTTGCCGGCTCCTCCTCCTCACCGCGCCCGGGCGGCCTTCCTCCCGCTCTATGTGTTCCTCGCCCTCGCCGTCTCTGCCATCTCGCCTTGCTCATCTTGCGCTTAAAGCTGTGTGTGTGCTTCCCAAGCGCGCGTCGTCTTCTTGGCCTCCCCGCCTGTTGTCGTCTTTGTCTTGGCCGTCCGTGCCCGAGAGGCTTGTGGTCGGGGCGGCGCGTCCTCGGCTTGAGGCGGCCTTGGCGCACGCAAGCCTGGGCTGGGTACGACGAGTTTAGGTGGGCAGAGAGCTCGCGGCTGGCGGTGCGGCGACGCGGCCCGCACAGGGGCGCACGTGGCCGTGCGACCATCATGCATGTCGGTCGTGGTGGCCGGGGCGGTGGAATCGCTGGGTGTCGTCGGTGGGTGCGCCGGCGATGGAGGCATGAGGCAGCGAGCGGCTAGGCTCCGCCCGACCCTGACGTCCGCGAGGCTGGTTGCGCCCCTAGCCCCAGCGCCCAAGCGGTCGGCTTCACCTCCTGCCCCGGCGCTCGCGCGGCTGGCTCTGCCCCCCGCCCTGGTGCACGCGGGGCTCCCTGGCCCTAACACACGGTGGAGCTTCAGACCATCCCCATCACCTGGCCATTCATGGTCTGGGGCCTCAACATGGTTGGACCCCTCAAAAAGGCCCCGAGCGACTTCACTCATGTACTCGTAGTAGTGGACAAGTTCACTAAGTGGATAGAGGCGAAGCCCATCATCAATATTCACTCGGAAGAGACGGTCAAATTCTTCCTCGACATCATCTAGCGGTTTGGTGTTCCTAACTGTATCATCACCGACCACGAAACAAACTTCACCTAGAACAAGTTTCTTGACTTCTGTGATGGATACGACATCAGGATCGATTGGGCCTCGATCGGACACCCGTGCACTAACGGTCAGGTCGAGCGGGCCAATGACATGGTCCTCCAAGGACTCAAGCCCCGCATCTTTGACCGACTCAAAAAGTATGCCGAGCGATAGGTTGTAGAGGTCCCAGTGATCCTCTGGAGCCTAAGAATGACCACAAACCAGTCCACAGGGTTCACCCCTTTCTTCCTCGCATACGGAGCCAAGCAGTGTTGCCCTCTGACCTCGATCACGGTGCCTCAAGAGTAAAGGCCTTCGACCAAGACCGAGCCACGGAGGCTCAGCAGGACACGACCGACCTGCTCGAGGAGGCTTGTGGGACAACCGTCATCCGCTCCGCTTGTTACCAGCAAACTCTCCGTGGGTACCATGAAAGAAAAATCAGGGAGAGGATCTTCGAGGTCGGTGATCTCGTACTCTAGAGGACCCAGTCAACCAAAGAGAAACATAAGCTCTCTCCACCATGAGAAGGACCCTACATGGTGACCAAGGTGATCCAACCGAGCACCTACTGGCTGAAGGACGACAACGGCAACGTTCTCACCAACACATAGAACATCGAACGTTTACGTCATTTCTTTCCCTAAAACTCGGTCTTACCGTTTATTTCCATTCAACGTTTGCTCCTACAACTCTCTAGACCGAGCACTCTCGGCCTAGATCGCTCGGGGGCTCCACGGTGGTGCGATACCACCCTCCTTTTTTTACTATCATGTAGTAATACTTTTCGCCCAAACAAAAGGGCGTCGCCCAAACGAAAGGGCATTCTATTCCTTTGATTATCCTACGTAACTTGAGCTTTAACCTCCCGATCGATCACACCCTGCCATGACCTATGGTTACGAGTAGCTGAGCCTCATGGGCCATGCTCGGGTTTTTAAGGTTGCAGCCTACGGGTCAACGGGTAGGTGCGAAAAGGAAAGGACAAAAAACAAAGTTACGCAAGGGTAAAAACAAGGATGGATGGGACAAGCTTCCCCTCATGAGTGATTTCATCACAAAACGAACTTAAAATATTCACGAATGTAAAACTATTCACACAAGGGCTCCCCCATGAACTCATCTTTTACATGACCTGACTATTTCTACTCTAACTCTATTATGGCCCTCCGGCGGCATCGGCTGACGGTACGGTTGACAAGGACGAAGGCAGCTCGCTTTCAGTCGGGATGACATTTGGCTCTGTTGGGGGCAGGACGACGCTCGCCTTTGACCCGGCGTCCACTACCTTCGTAGGCTGGGCGACATCTTCCCGGTGCATGTCTGTGGCCACGGTCGAACGGCGAGCCTCCATCACCCACTGCGCGGTGACCTGCTCAGTGACCATCTGTGCATGTGGCACCAAACTCTCCCCCAACGCATGGATTTCGTCTGCGCTCCACCCATCGGCGTATCCTCTGCTGATGGTCACAAAGTCTAGATCGGGGTGATGGGTCACCACCAAGGTCAGCACCCCCGATGTCCCATAGAACATGCCGTCGGAGGTGAGCGCCCGAACTTCATTTGGGACCTCCGCTAGCTAGACGACGGGCATACTGGTGCTCGGTCCTGACCCGAACACCTCGGAGACGACCACCTGCGTGATATTGCGAATTTGATCAAGCTCTCCCTTGAGAGCACGTCGCTCCTCAAGGGACTAGTCTAGCGCCTCCGTGCCCCGACCGACCACTGCTTTGATCGTCTCCAGCTCTTGCTCCAGAGATTTGATCTTTCCACCCAGTTCTAGAAACAGATGACAAATTCAGAAGCAAAGGAAAGGAAAAATCAAGGCATGAACCGAGGGCGGAATAGATATGTACCAAGGCAGGTGCTTTCTAGAATGGAGAGCCCTTCCTCTTGCCGGGTCACCCTCTCAAGCAGTCGAGCGTTTGACTCCTCTGCCCCGAGCATCTGCCCTCGGAGTGCGACCACTTCTTGCTCGGCGTTCAACCGGGCCTTCCGCTCCACCTCTAGAGCCTCCAAGGACTTCTGGTGCACCGCCTCAGTCTTTGCTAAGTGGGCCTTCACCGCGTCAAGTTCCCGCTCGACAGCAGTCGCCCGCTCGACCACACGCAGCTCTACCGCCCGTGCTCCCGTCGCCTCGACTGCCTGGTCTTGAGACTCACGGCGGGTGAACTCCAGCTGGTGCCTGAGCTCGTCGACCCACCATGACGCCATCGCTTCTTGCTCCATCCGACCATGCTCCTCCTAAAGAAATCAGGACTTGCGGATCGACATCATCTCTAGGTCCTGCAAGACAAGAAGCTGGCGTGCTAAGACAACCATTTAAAAGCCCAAGAATCAAAGATAACACCAAGAACATAGAAAACTTACCTCTACAACACGTGGCAGGTTGATTGTCATGGCTTGATGGATGAGCTCAACTCTCTCTAAGGTGAGCCTCGCCTTGGTAAGGGTGAGATCGAACTCCATCGACAGTCCTCTCTCCCCGAGCAGGTGCTAGAGCTTCACCTCCTCCTCGTCATGAAGGATGAACCGAGCCTTTCCCGACTCACTGGAGCAAGGCCACACCAGCTCGCGGGTCACCCCGACCCGCTGGAAGATCCAGCCATCGCAGTATCATGCGATGACCAGATCATCACCAACTCCCGGGACAACGGGATGGCTGGCGGCTCCACCCGGTGTCTTCCTCACCAGAGAAGGGGATGTCCACCGCCAAGACTCCACGTCTTGCTGACGGCTGCTCTACCTCTGGCCTGGCCATGGTTCCTCCGGACCCCTCCAGCTCTGACCAGGCGGGCGAACCGTGCGCTCCTCCACCGGGCGAGACAGGGAGCCCGGTTTCCCTCCTCTCCTCCTCTGCAACTATTGGGGGAGGGACCGCTAGAGTCATCTATGACCCGACCTCCATCATCACCATGGGGATCGCCGCCATCACCGTCGCTACCGCTGCCACCGTGCTCACGATCGGTCGGGAAGACGCAACCCCCATTAAGGAGGGTCGCGCCGCCGCCAACCTACTTCCCCCACCGCTCGTCGCGCCCCACTGTAGGCTAGGTCTCCACTCTTCTCTCATGGGAGGTGGGGAGATTCCTAGTCCCGCTAGCCCCTGACCGCTGTCAAACAAGTGTAGGTTAGTCACACTCAAAAACTCAACTATGAGAACAAAAGGGAGCATGAATGTATACCTAGACGAAAGCGGTAGAGCTCTAAAGCCCTGACCGACTGACGATGAGCCGACTGGACGAGGATCGCTCATGGGTCATGACCTATGCCCCCTTGCATTGGCCGAGGGAGGACGCGACCTGGTCGGTCCCTGATCGGCCCGCGAACGGCTACGATCGCCAGCTCATGGCGAAACCACCAGAGCAACTAGCGGGGCATCTTCCCGTTGGGGGTTGC